CCTGGTTCTCAGTCAGAACAATTTTACTGGCCCCTTGCCAGATGGGCTTGGTACTGGTTTGGTTTCTCTGGAAAAACTAGACCTTTCTTCCAATCACTTCAATGGGTCGATTCCCAGTGACTTGGGAAATCTGTCAAGCCTGCAAGGAACTGTTAATTTTTCTCATAATCATTTTAGTGGTTCAATTCCAGCTAACCTTGGTAATCTTCCTGAGAAGGTTTACATTGATCTTACTTTCAACAATTTAAATGGTCCAATACCTCAAAATGGTGCTTTGATGAATAGAGGACCAACTGCCTTTATTGGCAATCCTGGTCTATGTGGTCCTCCTTTGAAGAATTCATGTGGTTCCGATACTCCATCTGTTAGCTCACCTTCCTCGTTTCCATTTATTCCAAATGGCTACCCAACTCAGGGTGCTGGTAACGGTTCCAGCGGAAGTGAGAAAAACAAAGGGCTGAGTAAGGAAGCTGTGGTTAGCATTATTGTGGGTGATATAATTGGAATTTGCCTCTTAGGTTTGCTGTTCTCTTTTTGCTACTCAAGGGTTTGTGGCTTTAACCAGGATCTGGATGAAGATGGAGTTAACAAAGCAAGGAAAGGGAGGAAAGAGTGCCTCTGCTTCAGAAAGGATGAATCTGAGGCCCTGTCTGATAATAATGTTGAGCAATATGATCTTGTCCCATTAGATTCCCATGTGACTTTTGATTTGGATGAGCTTCTCAAGGCTTCGGCTTTTGTTCTGGGTAAGAGTGGAATAGGTATTATGTACAAAGTGGTGCTTGAAGATGGGGTTGCTTTGGCCGTGAGGAGATTAGGGGAGGGAGGTTCTCAAAGGTTTAAAGAGTTCCAAACAGAGGTAGAAGCAATAGGGAAGTTAAGACATCCAAATATTGCAACTCTGAGAGCTTATTACTGGTCTGTTGATGAGAAGCTTCTCATTTATGATTATATATCCAATGGAAGCCTTGATACAGCAATTCATGGTAAGTTTTGTTCAGTACAATTTTTTTTTTCTCATTTTTTTCCACTTTTGTGGCAGTGACTTATCTTTTTGCCTAACCTAACACTTAGTTTTTGTTCATTAATTGTTGCCTGGTTCCATTTATATCCAGGGAAGCCTGGACTTGTAACATTTACACCACTTTCGTGGTCCTATCGATTAAAGATCATGAAAGGAACCGCAAAAGGATTGGTCTATCTTCATGAGTTTAGCCCCAAAAAATATGTTCATGGAGACCTCAAGCCAAGTAACATACTTCTTGGACACAACATGGAACCCCACATTTCTGACTTTGGAGTTGGACGCCTTGCAAACATTGCTGGAGGGTCGCCAACCTTGCAATCCAGCCGAGTGGCTGCAGAGAAGCAACATGGAAGACAAAAAAGCATCTCCACTGAAGTCACTACCAATGTGTTGGGAAACGGTTACATGGCTCCAGAAGCACTGAAAGTGGTGAAGCCATCACAGAAGTGGGATGTTTACTCATATGGTGTGATATTGTTGGAAATGATCACAGGAAAATCATCCATCGTCCAAGTGGGGAACTCAGAAATGGACCTTGTTCAATGGATTCAGTTCTGCATCGAGGAAAAGAAGCCACTCTTGGAGGTGTTAGACCCTTACTTGGCTGAAGATGCGGATAAGGAGGAGGAGATTATTGGAGTTTTGAAGATTGCAATGGCTTGTGTCCAAAGCAGCCCTGAAAAGAGACCCACAATGAGGCACGTGCTTGATGCTTTGGATAGATTGACTATTTCCTCAGATTGAGAAATTTCAGAGAGCTGTGCGCTGTGAACGCAGCTCATTTCTGAATCTTTTGCCCTTACTCTTGTCCTGGTCATGTTTAACGATGTCTTGAAACTCATGAATCCTTATAATTGGAGTACTAGAAAAGAAATTTAATTTGTTTGAGCAAAAATCATCAGTTCTTCTGAGATTATACTACCAAACACATGAAGATGCTTTTGGGGAGCTTCATTTTTTTTTATTATCGTTTTCTTAACCAAGTTATATATATACACAGGATACGTATCTATATCTTGAAAGGAAAATTAAAAAACACAAGAACTCAGTAAGTTTTTTAAGAAGTCACCTTACTTAAGTAGTCTTATTATATTAACTTTTGTTCATTTATCTATAGTTATATATTTCAATATTTTAACAAAACAACAACTCTTAACAACTGTCTTATAATTCTTAAAAAATGTCTGATAACTCTCATTCACTTGGAGTGAAAAGAACAGTATTGTGGTTTCTTGTCATGTGTATCGGATCTTATCGCATCAGCCATCACCAAGAAAACACAGTTATGTATGTGTTCTCCACAATACCTAACTGATTGGACGATTTATTCATAATATATGTGTATTTGGTTTTCAGAAAAGAAATAAAGGGAATAGAAATACACAAATAAATTGAAGAAAAAAAAAAGGAAATTGAACTTTAGATTGTTTAATAAGATAAAAAATAGTAAAAAGTATTCATGAAAATAAAATAAATTTGAGGTGCTGAAAAATTTTTGGTAGATGTTTAACTCTTGAATTTACAGGGCAAAGTGAAAGAAAACAGAGTCATACGACAGGCTGTAGTATGTATTTATAATCTTGTACCTTTTTTCTCAAACTTTGAGATTAAGCGAAAGAAAAAGAAAAGACAAAAGTAACAAGCTTCAAAGTCAAATTCCTCAAACTTTGCTTCACAGGTCTTTTCATTGGCAACTAGTTAGCTTCAGGATAAGAGAATAACTATGGATGAACGGTGGGAGAAAAAAAAGATGAGAAATGAGAAACTAAAAGAGTTGATTTTAATTAAGAATATATAAATTATGTTAAGTTGCTTGCGCTTTACAAAATTTAGTAAATTGTTGACTTTTTAATTATGAGTTACAAGTATATTATTATTTCAATAGCTTTTGGTGAGTAGAGTTGTAAATTTGAGAAACATTGTGAGTATTGGAGATGGGAAGGGAAGGGCCCAACCATGTGGCGCGAATTGAGGGTGAAATGACTCAAACTCCAACTGCAGGGGGCTAAATTGTTGCTTCTCATTTGTATTTAACTGCTAATTTGTCTGTTTCGTCATTCTTTTGACTTTGACAAAGACACCATTTCTACCACTTTGAGTTTCACATGGGTTGGTGTGAATTTCGTGCCAGAGCTAGAATATTAAAAAATAACTTATGTATCATGTTTCTTATATTCCTATCATGCAATACCCAGAAATGAGATAAGATGATTTAGATTTTATCTGTTTGGAAGAGTATAGATGTAAAAAATATGTCACTGGTGTTTTCCATTTAAAATTGTGAAAAAATGTAGAAGATTAGAACATTTTCATGTTACTTATGCTTAAAAAAAATTAGGTTAACAAGAAAAAAAAAAGATGAAATAGAGTGAAATATATTTCACTTTAGGAAAAAAATAACATTGTTTTATAGAAGACATATAATATCTATAAAATTACAAATATATGCTAATCATTAACATAACGAGGCAATTACAATTTTCACGCAATCATTTCCCAAAGAACATAATCAACTCTGGCTTCCCCTTCTCATATAATATGCTTTTAATAAATATAATAATAATATAATGATAATAGTAATAATAATAATAATAATTGTAAAATGATAAAAAAAATTCTCTTTAATTATTTTTGCCTACTATTTATTTTCTATTTTTTTCTTTATCACTAACATGTTGGAAGTCAATGTTTCTAAAATTTTAATCTTTTATATTTTTTAAAAGAGTTATGATAATTTCACTTTTTAAAATTGCTTTTTAACCATGTTCCCACATATTACTAAGAAGATTAACTAATAGTTTTCGAAAGAGACATCAATCATAAAAAAAATAACATTTTTTTCTCTCTTCAAGTTATGTTATTATAGCGGTAACAGATTCTTATTTTACTGTTGGTAGTAAAAATTAAGGAAATTCATAAAATTATTTATGACTATAATAGTTGAAAAAATCGAGTAGAACTTATTTTAAATAAATAAATCAATGGATTAGTAAGTAACACTGACTGATAAATTACTCTAAAAAAAATAAAATTGAAAATTTATTTTGTGCTGAAAACTGAAATTGTTAAATTACAGATACTTGATAAAAATTGATCGTTGAATTATAAAAAAAATAAAATAAAAGGATGAATATATGATTTGACGTAATTTTTTATCGAGTGATATCGAGAATAAAAAAAATATATAATAAATATAAACTATAAATTGAAAGTGATGCGAAACTTAATTATAAAACACTTCCATTTTAATCGAACAAATGTATAAAGTAGAAAAATCCTTTTTATTTTATAAGTATTTTCCGTCGAAAAAAATCAAATATAAAACACTGTCAAACATTAATGACATGCTTGTTTTGACGATAATACATTGAACAACCTTTCATAATAATAATAATAAAAAATACTGATTCAGTTGATTACACCAAATATTAACATTTATAGCCAGATTCAACCATTGTAAAGTAATGTATTACCTAAAACAACTTACCAATTACACTCAGCACATTAAAGAGAATGTATGAATGAAGAACTCTGATGTAAGGCAATGGTGGGAAAGATGTCATTGTCATAGTGAAAGCAAGTTGAGACAGCTGTGCTTTCCAAGTTAATTAGTAGAGCATGAAGTTTGAGAGAAATAAGGGATATCATGTGTCCTTGCAGTCATTGCTCTATATTTACTAAGATGTAATTTAATGCAACAATGTGGTGCTGTGACCTACATTAAAGGGATGGACCCAGACTCACCCGAGAGTGAAACCTGGAAAAGTTCTTCATTGAAATTTGGAAGTGAAGTGATTATTATTGGTATTCCATATTAATGATTAAAAATCACGTACGGTACGTTTCCATCAATGACTTGTCCATCCACTAATTCAATCCATCAACTTTGATTACATGGCCAAACTACTTAACCAATGACATCGAAACCAACTTTGATTAATCTAGCTTCTACTGATACTAAGAGACACAAAATTTAGGTGTATCTAGATGAACAAGAAACTATGCCTGCATTCTTTCTTGCAATCCTCAACCTCTTCACACATTCTATGAATTCCCTGGAGAAAATAAGTGAAGAGAAGTTAGAATTATTGTTGAAATGAATACATATAATAAAATGTGGATATTTGCAAGAAAAATGGGACCTACTTCCATGGTACATCACCCACAGGTCTCCAATTATCTTGTCTGTCCTTGTAGAACAATGAGTACTCTGATCCCGATTGGAACAATCGTAATCCGGAAACAGATTGGTTTCCTGAATGGTACAATCAGTTAAAAACATGTTACTAGTTAAACAAGAATCATGCTAAAGATTAAAAATATCTTGCAAGTGCATGCACAATGGATTTTATTCACTCTGCCTACCAAACATGTCTTCCAATTGGAGTGCTAGGCTTGAGTATCCACCGTGATCAAGTACACAGATTTTCCTACCGATGGTAACCCCATCCATGTTAACCTTCACATAAGCCCATCTCTCTTTGCTCTGGACCCCTTCTATCTCTTCATCACATTTTTCGTGGGCAGGTCTACCATGCATTGTGCTTGAATTCTTGAGGTTCACATTAGAGTGAGGCCAACCCATAAGGTCATCATCGTACACTGATTGGAATAAACAATTTCATCAGACTGTATTAATATTCACACAGTTAATGTCACAACTTGAACGTTAATTATAGTTGAGTTCATGCTATCAAAGGTAGTAACATAGCAGTCAGATGAATCATTATCACCATACAAAAATCATGTCAATGACCGAACTGAACTGGTTTTTTTATGCAGTTTAATGTTTATGTTATGTTCGTGTAACAATTTTAAATCATCAACCAACCAAAAATCGTGTCAAGTATAAATTTTAAGTAGACTACCATATATAGAAGTAAACCAAACTATCGTTCATGAATTATTATTTTAATAGTATATACTGTTTACCTTTTTTTATAATTGAAAATTATTATTGTAAAGGGTGTATGAAAAATTAGAACAGGTGAAGAATTAAAAGAATGAAGGAGGTGGTGAACCCATACAGTTAGTAGAAGAAGAATGGTAAGCTTCATGTTGAACAGTTCCGAGACTAAGACCCAGATCAATTATGCCATCATCTTGTTTGTCTTGGTAGAAAACTGAGTGCAAAGTTGAAGAGTTCAAAAGAAAGCTTGATGTGTTTGAATCCATTGGGAACTGAAATAGTTAACTAATAACTCTTCAACGTAGGCAGTGCTGGTTAAGGTCTAGTGATTTGCATTTGTAGACATAACTATTTATAGTGGTAATTTTGAGTATTCAAAAGAGACATGAAAGAACACATGGAAGACAAGGAAGCGTCCTCCATTATCAATCATTAAATGCACAAAGCTTATCTTCTGTTACGGTCAACATGGAACACAAGGTAAAAACAAAACACCCCAAGAACAAAGGATGGCCAAATTGATCCTAACAGAAGTTATTCTGGATTCTGCTTCCTGACATTGCTACAGATGCTCAGACTCTTTTCCATGGTGATAGTAACCCCATGACAACAAATGAAAAATACTAAACTGGTTCATACCATCGTATAAATTCATTAAAGTAAAAAAGAAATTGTAGGTTAATTATATATGAGAAACTAATACTTCATTGTGAGTTCACTCTTGCTAATCTACAACAATCAGCTTCTATATACTTGAATCCTTATTGTTATTAATTTTTATGAAAAAAAAACACATATATTAACAAGAAAATATAACATATAACTCGTTTTAAAATGTCTTTAAAATTTTGTTTTAGGACTTAATTTTAAATGCATAATGGATAATAATATTTGCTCCCCACATTTCATTGCATCATTTTACACATCAGCGATTCTTGCATTGAAAACAATCATGATGTCACAAAAAGGGATGTAATTATGCAAATGAAGATGTGCTAAAATAATGTCAAAATTTTGATGAACAGATAGAGAAGGGGTCCAAAGCAAAAGTAGCTATCCAAGTGGACTTGATTATTAGGGTTCAGGGCTTGAATTTATAAAATTCTACAATTTTGGTCCTTGAGTTTATCTGAGCAACGTGGAGCTATAGGCATAAAGCTCACAGTTGAATATTTGTTGATTTATCCACATAAACATGACAGGACTACCACTTTTCAAGGGAACAAGGATGTGGTCAGATCATAACATCCCATGCCCCTATGCTTTTGGCAGGAAATGTCTTTTTCTTGTTCCTTCCTTTTATGGATTGGGAGTAGAGAGAACAGTGTAATGTTTACTAGTGAGTAAATTAAAATAGATTAACTTTATTGATCTCAACAGACCGTATAGATCAGAACTAAAGAAAACGAGTTTTTGTACCTGTTTTCCAGGTAAGACGTTAGCATTCCTGGATCAAATATAATAATGGAGGCAGAAGGTGTCTGCTATTTTAATACTGATAAGAATTAAAGGTATCTCAGTATTTTCAATGCACACTGTATGATTAAAAATTTGAATTTGGCATGCTTAAATATTAGCACATAAAAACATTAGACACAACTTCTTGAGTACTATAACCTCCCGCTATAACTAAAAAAACCATGGATTGGTTTAGGTAATGGTGGGGTGTCAAGATCAAAGATAAAAGCCTGAAATTATGGAGAGTGAAGAGTGTGAGAAAAAGAAGTCTCACATAAACGAAAATAGATACGTTGAATACATAATAGAAATAGTTAGGATCTATAAATTTGATGCATTCAAAATTTGAATTGAATGTGGTGGCCGTGCTACCAGGTGTCTAATATTGAAGTACAATGAATTTGGTGTGTCGGAGAGTTCATCTAGGCATCGAATTGCTCTCAAAATATAATAAGACCTGAGACCCACATTAAAAGTGTGAAAGTTTGATGTAAGATTTGTAAGACCTTGGACACTTTACACCCACTAACTCTCGTGACATGATTCTCCCAAAATTGTTATAATAATTAGAAACTCTAAAGATTTTTCCAATTATTAAGAGTTTCTTACTTATAATTTAAGTTATGATAAAAATTTCATGTCTATCCAAAGATAAACAAAATATGCCGCAAGTTGTTATAGAAGAGACACGCTTTGAGAAGACAGTGATTTAATGTGAATCAGTATTAAAAAGAATGTTCAAACCAATAACTAAAAATTGTATTTCATGTTAATACTTTTTTAAGCATTAAAATAAAACCAAAGTAAATCAAAACCTTACTCTATTAATTTTTTTAACGTAAAATCTATTTTTCCCGAACAATTGAATCAAGCCACCAACTTTGGCTATTTATTTGAGTGAATATTTTAATTGTAAATATTTTTTTATGATATATATATATATATATATATATCATCAATGCGTTGTTAGATTTTATAATATACCAATTTATTTTCTCGCTAACAATTTAAAAAAAATAATCAACTCCATATAAAAAATTAATCCAAAATTTAATTCACGTTCAATGTTACATTTGAATCAAATAAAATTTCAGCTACATATTTACTTCTTTTTTCAATTCAAATGTTTTTTCAAGTGTGAGTAAAATACAAAAAATCTGTACAAAATAAGTTGCAACCACTTCAAATTAGTTATTAAGATCGACATGGTAATAAAATAATTGAGTAATATGCATGGAATTATTAAGTTCTAGTCTGACTGACTATTGTATACAGAAAAAAATTGTTACTTCATTAAAGCATGTGTGCATTAGGATAGGAACTAAGATGAAAAAAGCCTTATCATTAAAGCATACATAACTTGGTGAAATAATTTAAGAGAATCGTGTAAGAAATTCTCTATATATTATTTTACACAAATTCAGAAAAAAATTAGACTCCTAATGAGAGGCGAGCCAAAGCCCCAAGTCAAGAGGGGTCAAATAAATATATATTTTTTAATAATAAAATGAAAATCACAAATCATATATTAACATTAATAAGTTTTAAGACTTTAAGGAAAGCCATCATGACCTTGGCGCGACCACTGCTTGTGATTCCTATTTCTTTCTATAACTTTTTTCAGAGTCCTACCTTTGGCTGCTATGGTTAGGAAACAAAAAAAAAGCCGAATCCCCTTGCTCCAATGCACAAAAGGTCTGGTCAATTTTTACAACTTTTCTTCATTAATGTACCTAATATCAATAACCAAACAATTAATCTTGTTAGTTGTCTGTACCATGAACGACCACGTAGGCAAGTGCTGCATTCGCTCCAACGGAATGTACAAAAGGCAACAAGAGAAAGGCATCTCACACATGTTTGGATTGTAGTTATCAAGCATGATCCAAGAAGAATGTATTTCATGAAAATTGACAGTGTACATCACTTGTCGTGACAGGTAAGAAATTCAATTATGCTGGGATACACCTGCTCCACCGCCTGTGCTCAAAATAATCATAGAAAAAATGGCATTGAGAAAGCAACAGTGGAAATAAGAATGAAACTAGGAATGCTTACATAAGACGACTAAAAATGGACAAAATTAATAATGAATAAAAAGAAAAATGGCAAGAGTGGGTGAACTGGAGAAGAAAGATGTGAATAGAACAAAAGACAGAAAATCCGTGTGGGACAGCCATTAAGACCACCATAACCAATTAATCACAATGGTTTTTCTTATGCCTAAACTGAGCATGTTTTTCTTGCTTTCTTGACAATTTCCTTAGCTAAAATAACATTAACAACAACAAACAAAGAATAAGTTCATACCAGCCTTCCTCCAACCAAATCATAATGAGCATAATGTGGGCCTCCAGGTTCTCCAAACACTTTATAGGTAACCAGGTGCTCAGGAATTAGCTTCATGGTTTCTGCTCATAACATACCTTTAAGAATACACTTCTAGAAACAGCAAAAGAGGCAAATAAAACATCACCTATGATAAAAATTACCTTCCACAGCTTCAGGTGGGCAAATCAGATCCTGGTCTCCAGCAATAGCTAAGATAGGGGTATTGCTTTTGTGTAGATGGTCCTTGTAAAAAAAGGTCCCATTCCTGTTGCATAAACCATGCTCTCGAAATGCTGTAGTGAGTTGCAAGACAAGTTTTGCGGGTATGGTGCCTAGTGGTAATTGTATAATAAGGTCAGATATTATTTTAATATTCAGAAGTAAACATGTAATTTGCTTAATTAAAGAATAAAAAATTACATGCACTGTGATGCCTGCCTATACCAGTGTTTTTTCATACTAAAGTTCTAATCCCAAATATCCTGTTTGTTGGTTGTAGTTAAACTAACAATATCTAGAAAGTACATCTGGAAGGATTACCACATTTGTACCAATTGACTTTAATGAACCACTCAAACCATTACTACTTGTTCAATCTATCATTCCTTAATAGTTTAGTATATCATACTCTCTTATCTATGTTTTCAAGGACCAATGACATAGTGAAAGCAGAGGAATTATTTCGCTTTTCCATCCATCCTACTCACCTTAATATGCTTGAATGATCCATCTGAATACCCTATCTCAGGATTAATGTTAAGTTCTAACACGCAATTCATAATATCTCTAAAATGGAGCCACCAGAATAGTTATTATAACACTACTGAAATAAGCATGAGAAAGAAAGGCATGTCAAACAGAGAGGTTCTGGTAATTGTCCAAAACAAATACATGAAATAAACTGTTAGTCCAAAAAAAAGATGTATTCCACAAGATTTGATGCTTATAAATACAAATTAGAAGAATAGATTGATCTTTCATACTTTCTTTCTCAAGAAATACAAAATCCCAAGAAATGATTCAATTTTAGCATATGATAGTATTATTCCAATGAACAAGCAATTTACTCCACCACCCTTAAAATATCAAGTGTTGGTTACAAAAAAATATCTTCCACAAGATTTGACACTAATAATACAAATTGGAAGAATGGTTGCCCCTTCACACTTTCTCAAGAGCATACAAAAGGCCAAGAAATCATTCAATTTTAGTACAATAAAGCGCTTCGCCCTTTAAAATATCTATCAATTGGACTGATGGGCACCAGCCAGCTGTCGAAAGATACTATATCCCATACTGTCATAAAAAAAGCCTATGAACAAGCCCATTTCACGTTGTGCCAAAATTCAAACGAATGAACAAGAGTCAAATTCCTAACCATGTTCTCGAAGCAATAAAATTCCATGTTCAAAACCAATCATCAAAAAAGCTAAGCTATTAGGTGTAGGCACGTAAATTGTGTAAAAGAAAAGATGTTTCCACATAAACAATTTTAGATTTCTAATGGATAGAAATACTGACAGAAGTTATTCAAAACAAGTCTCTTCAATAAATCTGGATCCATCATGTCCTCAGCTGAAATCAAAGTATTTAACCATGAGAATACATATGGCGGACGAGATGAAAGAGGATAAGCTGCTGCCAACATTGCCCCTAAAGGAACAACAGGGACATTCAGAGCCTGTGCAGGATCTGCCTGCTCAACAAGTGACTGAACTTAGTACCATAATAGAGATATTATCGCTAGCTAATCACTAAATATATGAAGGAAGTAACCAAAAACATCTAAACCATCCACTTACTAAGGGTAAGAGTAACTTCAGAGTTGATTTGGATGATGTGTAATCCAGAGATGATGCCAGTGTGACTACTGCAGCCAAATTCGGTTCTTTTCCTTCGGAGCCTTGCATGAACATAGAACAGATATTAAGTAGATGAGAATACAAATGTGTCAGCATATGTAAACAGGTCATGCTCTGCTTGCAGTCTTAGATTTACACTTCTATGCTTACTAGTATATGTGCCACTGTGTATCGACAATTTTTTCAAGTTGCTACCGAAGTTACAACATGAAATAATGCGTCGCAATGGCAAAATAGAAGGGTAGAAATGATTTGGGAGTAACAGTTTTAAGAATCGTCAATTATCAGCCAATAGATATAATACAGATTGAATCCTACGTTCATTTAAAAAAAGAAAAACATTAATTCCTTGGTTTGACTTTTTTGCCATCTCATTTAAAAGACTAATCAAGCATAAAGATTCAAAATATGTATACTTGATCGTATGTCCAATCAGTACAAGGATGAAATTTCATAAAGTTCAAAGTTTGATCCTGCCTGATTCATCAAGATTTATGATTGCTTTTTGTTTCAAAGAAGTTAATAATTAATCAGGAATGTTCAAGCTGGGCTCAGAAGTTGATGTGGACTATCACTAGTGACTAAATCAAAATTGAAAAAAATAGATTGTAGGCTAATGATTTTCATAGACAAAGTTGTTTTTCCTCCCAAAGTAATATTGACTGAAGACTGATTCAAATTCTTGATATCTAACGACCAACTCCAAGAACAGAAAAAAAAAAAAAAACTGCCTTCCATAAATGAGCATCATGATAATATCAGCCTACTGAGGAATTTCCAAACCCAAATATTCCGCCCTCCCCATTGTTTCCACCCCCTCATTAAGGAATGATTGGGAATTATAGTTTAGATCATAACAAATGTCAAACAGACTACACAACATAAGAATACAATAACAAATAAAGCAAAATGGCTAACGGCCAATTAATACTAAGAAAAGCCATAAACTTACCAAACCTTGACAGCATGGAGTAAAGCAAGATACCACCCATGGAGTGTCCAATTGCAAGCAATTTTCCATCTTTAGGCATGCTTTGTTTCATAATGTATTCTATCTGTAAACGTAAAGACAACAACTCATAAAAGGGATAAGCAACCAGGTTAAGTTACCTGTATATAACAAGTAGAGAAGAGGTATTGCTTAATGTTAATGATATAATATTCAATTAGTGTCGATAAATTAACAAGAGAGATGACTTGTAGCTTTCCAATATAATAAGATGTCACTTTACCGCTGCAGGAACATCTTCTTCCAGGTAATGATCGAAGTCCCAATCATACTTCACCATCAAATCAAGTTGCTTCTGAAAATCTTCTATTGTAGAAGTAAAGCGAGCTTGTAGATCAAATAATGGAGGAGAAACGGATAACTGACCTTCCTCGATAATTTTTACTAGTTTTTGACTCAGATCAGTTATTTGACTAGTAAATCCAGAGTTTTGCTTTGTTTCATACAAGGTTGAAAGTTTTCCCCTTATCTCATTGAATTGCTCATACAATGGAGAATCCACCAAAAGTTTTGAAATCTGATCTAGAAATTTGGCAAACATCACCCTTGATTGACTTTCACTCAAAAACCCAGAGACTCTTTCTGACAAAAACATAAAAGTCTCGCTCAATCTTGCCACCAATTTTGATTCATCCCAAGCAGTAGCTAACCTAGTTAGGTCACCTTTAATTGCCGCATTCTCAATTTCTACTCCATTTGGAGCAGAAATCTGAGGTTCAGATACTGCAGAAGAGATGTTATTTAATTCTTTATTTGAAGCCACGGCTCCATTGGTAGCAGTTGCACTTTCTGAAGCAGCTTCCATTTTCTCAGACATTGCATTGGCAACCTGTCCAACATCTTTGGAATTTGAAGCCGGAAGACTCAACCCAGCCCCTCGTACTTCCAGAGTCCAAGTTTCAAATCCCTGACCGGACATGTAACGTGCAAATGATGACTGCAGTACATAAAATGGTTTAGTGGGAAGTTTGATACATTAAATCAGAAAAAAAAAAAAAAGTACTACAGAAAAAGCATTATTAATTACACAAACATAGGTTGATCACATAGAATAATACAAAGGGAAAATGAAACTTAAACCACAATATGGAGGAAAGCATAATAATAGTAATAATAAAGAATCAAAAGAAGTAACTTTGGTGTGTTCTTTAAAGGAAAAAGCATTCAAATTTTGCAATCAAATTGTCACTTAAAATAGTACATTACTGTGAAAACTAAAATGTTTCTGTTTCCTATGTTGATAAACATTGTGATCATGCTTCAATATCTTATATTCAAATTAGGGTACAAAAAACAAGATTATAAAAGATGGGCAAGTTGTCTATGCAAGAATAAAAGGATAGTGACAAAGCACCAATACTTGCATTTGTTTCACATCCTTATCAAATGATATTGATACTTTGGATACTTCGCTAATATGTATCTCTGAAGTATCGAAGCTTGTTTAGGAAAAAATAAGTAATGAAATCTTATTAGGCCATATACAAGACATATATGCATGTATAATCAAGAAGGTTAAAAGCATTGTTGCTTGATGAACTACAAGAAGGCTATCTTCTTTATTCATCTTTCTCAGGGAGGGAATGAGATAGGAACTATTCTTGTCTGTAGACAATGGACCGTGATTTGTGATGCCAATGATAAATAATTTCTACTTTGATTTTCCAGGAAGAAACCAATTGCCCTACTAGATTCCATAACAATTTTACCAGCACAAGCAAATCATATTCCAATGCAAGCAAACAACAAACTCCTAGATGCAAAAATGAAAACGAGAGGAAACAAACAGAGCATATTAAAAGCCAAACTAAACACAAAATAGAAACACACAGAATTTCATAATTACGATGAAGGGTTCGAAAAAAAACACTAGTAAAAAAAATACAAGAAAAAATGTTGACTACCTCAGGGGAAAGGTCATATCCAATGGCGTTAGTTCCCACGCCCGACAAGAGCAACAGAGGATGATTCCTCCGAGGTGCCTACAAAACATTGAATCCTAAAAAATCGTAACAAAATTACAGAGAGAATAGAAAAAACTGTAATTTGAATGACGAAAGAAAACTAACGAGAGGCGAAGGGTTGTAGCGCCAGAGAGCGAGTTTCCAATCGGAATTGGAGAGGGAGACATAGTGTAGTTCGTCGGCAGTGCAAACGGATGGCTTATCGGTGATGGCGGTGGAGAAAGCCCTGAGACGGAAAGGCGCGGTGGCGCGTGCGAAGGAGCGGAATTTGCAGGGAGCAGTGAGCATTTCAGATTGGGACAAGCTCATGGACATGGAGATAGACATGGATGACAATTTTGGTAACACAACGCTTTGCGTTCTCTATTTCTGTCGGTCTCTAACGTTTTCAATGGAGTCAAAATAATGTGGCGGTTGACACTTCATCCCAAACATTGCACTTGCAAATTTAGAATTGGATCCGCCGCATAAAGAAATCCATTTCATTACGTATGTTTTTCTTTTTCTCTCTTAAATGGCTCAAGGATTACTTTTGTTTGCGATTAAAACATGACAGAATGGTTCACGATCACTTCGTTTGATTTACTGGAAAAGGATACAGAAGAAATAGCCAGAAGGAGATACAGTGAATGAGTATGAAATAAGATATTGATAATATATATATTTATTAAGTGTACAAATCAATTATGACGTTCAAAAGAATTAGGGTTATGGTATTATGATATCCAATACTCCCCTTGGACAACTATATGTAGAAGGATGGATGTTTGTATAAATGGGTTATCAAGATAAATTTTTCCTAAGAATTATAACCTTTAAAAAATTCAAAAAACACATGTTTATTTTTGAAAGTAAGTCTAAGGAAATATATAAATTATTTTTAATAAATTAGGATGAAAAAAATATGTTTTTACAAATATTTTTAGATAAAATCCGTAAAAATATTAAATATTTTTGACAATAAATATGGATACCGTTTAAAGAATGTATTTAATATTTTTAAAAATAAATTATTTAAAAGAAAAAAATATTAATCATCGAAGAATTATTTAGAATTAGATTTATATTTTTATTTAAATTTATAAAAATAAAGTTATTTTAAATTTATATTATAACTTATTAAAATTAATATTTTATAAATATTACTTTTATTTATATTAATATTTAATTGTTTTATTATATTTTATTTAAATTATATTTTAATAGAAAATATTAAAATATATTTTAAAGAATAATTTTTAAATAATTATATTTACTAAAATAAAAATATTGAAGAGTATCCATTAATGCATGGTAATTATATTTTTTAAGTATCTCACAATTAAAAAGATAAACAACGATCGTCTTTTTTAGGTGAGTATATCCGTGTTCGGCCCTTTATAGGATTTATGAGTATATTGATACATAATCTCTCAATTAAAATTAAGGAGTAGACAAGAATGAAATAAGAGATGAGACAATATCAATCATCCAATCTTATAGATTATTATTGAAATATCTCTTGAAATACATAACTTAACTTTATAAAACAAGCTCGATTAGGTGATGATTATGTTCACTTATATACTATTATATTATCATATTTATAATCGATGTAAAATTTCTCAATATACCCCCTCACATCAAGGATGAATGAATATTAATCAAATAATAAATAATTAACTTAACTACTATTGATAGTTATCATCCGAACAACTCTAGAGTTAATTCTAATGTCATATGATAAATGTCAAATATTCATGTTTTTACATTTAGCTATGACACTTATTTTCATGTAATTATAAAAAGATCAATAGTAAAACCCTTCAGTAACATCTAACTGCTCACATTTTGAGTGTTGAAGAGTAATAAGTCAAACTAATGCAAATCTTTGTCAAAATGCAGGTTATAATCAGGAGATAGCAATACTAAAGTTAAAATGTTGAGCGGATTTTCATCCCCTGAGCAAAATTGAGGCAGAGAGGACCATATCAAAGGAAAGAAAAATCGTTCAATGATTTTGAATATGCTGAGCGGATTCGCGCCCGAGAGGAGAGTGTCATCAAGCAAGGGAATCACTTCCTGCTTTTCTTCTCAAATCTTTTTAGTGTAATGGCTGTCATGTGTGACTAACTCCTTCTTTTTGAAATTGAATATAATCGATTCGAACTTGGTTATATTCTGATGATATCTTTACATAATAATCTCTTTTTTAATTAGTGTTGGCATTTTCATTATGTTCTATATGTTTGATTCTATATAGTTTATTGATTCTGATTCTTATATTCAACTAGGAAGTGTTTCTAAAAAACTGACTTGAATGAAAATACTTGATCTATTGAGATACCAAGAATAAATTTCAATATATCAATTGTTTTTTATCATCTCATCATTGTGTTGGAGAATTTATTAACTGTTTGAGGAATCAATATTTAATAGATTTTTCTTATGGATCTTATACTTGAGGAATGAGTAAAAATGATTTTGGTATGTTGCATCAATATCATTGGCTTTAGATGCTATATTTTGTGAATTTATCTAATTAAATTACAACTAAGGGAGATAGATGAAATTCAATTCCATTTTTTTTACTTAACTTCTTTCATAGAAAATATTGTTTATATTGTAACTTATATGCAGCGTCAATATATCATCAACAATAAAGATAATTTTTACTTGTACAAGTGCTTAGTGAGTTGTGAAACTGTAAAGTTTAGTTGAATACCTAACTCAATCCTAAAAAATTGGGTTGGTAAGGTGGGGACTGTACTCACATGTATACTATTATGTTATCATATCTAATTGATGTAGGATTTCTCAACAAAACATGTATACGTTTCTCAGGAAAAAATGTATATGTTTGATATGTTTTATAAAATCTTATTCTTAGAATTTGGGCATATTCTAATGCTTATTTATATATATATTGTTGCAAGAGTGTCGTTATTTATGGAACATGTCCTGACTCATTCAAATTTAAAATTAGTTATATGTTTTGAATACACTTATCCTTCAGCAATAGTTGTTTTGTTCTTTCGCAGAAATAGTCATGGAGCAACAATTCAGTTTATGTAGTTGTTTTACTCATTTTAGTTTTTGTATTGACTATGTAAAGTCACTCATTCCATTGAATAAATCAAGCTTAAGGACTACCATTAGTATTAATATCATATGATCTTAACAGTTGTATCAGAGCCTACACACGAGTCTGATACTTAGAAAACACGAGAGAAAAGTTAAGTGAAACACATAATTGATGTCAACAGCTTCCTTAGTATTCCAAAGTTTGATGGTGACTATGATCATTAGTCCATGTTAATGAAAATTTTTTTGAGATCAAAAGAGTACTGGACCGCGGTAGAGCAAGGCTATGAAAAGCTTAAAACACTAGAGTCACTCACAAAAGCAAAACGTTGAACCTTAGAGGAGCAAAAGTTGAAGGACTTAAGGGCAAATAATTATTTGTTTCAATTTATTAACAAGAATATTTTGAAAATAATCACCAACAAAGCCACCTCCAAAGCACTTTGGGATTCAATGAAGCAAAAATATTAGGGAAATGCTCAAGTTTAACGAGCTTAACTCCAAAGGCTACGTAGGGAGTTTGAACTTCTAAAAATGCAAAATGGTGAGTGCGTGAATGATTACATTTCTATAGGCTTAAACAGACCCCTCGAACATGGTTCATCAAGATAGAATCATACTTTGTCAAGGAATGTTTTGAAAGAAACACGAGTGGTCACACTTTGTTTACAAGAAGGAAGGGGGAACAAATGTTCTTATTGTGAATTTGTATGTAGATGACCTCATCTTCAAACGAAACAGTGGGAAAATGTTAGAAGAATTCAAGAGCTCAATGAAAGGGGAATTTGAGATGACTAATCTAGAATGCATGAGATATTTTCTTGTTGTGGAAGTCACACAGATTTCAAATGACATTTTTATTTGTCAAAGGAAGTATGCTAACAAAGTACTAGAAAGATTTGGTTTACAAATTTGCCCATCTATCAAAAGTCCAATCGTTCCAAGGTCCAAGCTCACAAAGGATATTGAAGGGTTAAAGGTTGATGCTACTTTATATAAGCAAATGGTGAGAAATCTAATGTACTTAACTACCACTAGGCCAGACCTAATATATATTGTGAGTCTAGTGGCTCATTTCATGGAAGCTTGAATAATTATGCATCAATAAGCGATGAAAAGAGTCATGTGTTATTTGAGAGGAACCACTAAACTGGGGTTGTTTTACAAAAGAGAAGGAGATGAAAATTTGGTAACTTTCTATGATAGTGACTATGTCAGAGACCTTGAAGATCAAAAGAGTACCTTAAGGTATATTTTTAAGATGTCGAATGGATTATTTGCTTAAAGTTCTAAGAAGCAACCTGTGGTGTCGTGTCATTGTCCATCACGGAAGTCAAATTTATTTCTATAGCAGCTTGTGCTGTTAAAAGCATTTTTATGATACACGTATTTGAGAGGTAGATGATTAAGCAAAATAAGTGCATTATTTTTAATAATAATAGTTTAATCATTAAACTTTCAAAGAATCCTATCATGCATGGTAAGAATAAGCATATTCATGTTCGATTTCATTTTCTTCGAGAATTGACAAATCAAGAAAAAGTTGAATTAACATATTGTGATACTAAAAATCAACTAGCTAAGTTGACATCATGACCAAGGTTTTGAAATTGGAAGTATTCATAAAATTGAGAGAAAGACTTGAAATATGCAAGTACTAAATAAATAAATTGACTACATTTATTTAAATAATAGTTCAATTTAAGGAAAAATTGTTGAAAGAGTGTCATTGTTTATAAAACATGTCCTAACTCGTTCAATTTTAAAAATAGTTATTTATTTTAAATATAATCATAAAATTCCAATTCAATTTTTATAATTGTTTTCCTCTTTTAAAGTTTTTGTATCGATTATATAAAACTACTAAATTCATTAAATAAATTAAGCTTAAGAGCTAATAGTAATGCATGTTTATATTCTTACATGTGAACTACCTCTCAACAGATACTTTTTTATTTAATATTGTTTTTTTCATTACATACTTTACGTCTAAACAGATAATTTTATTTGTGAATGTTTATAATTAGTTTGTAAAACATAGTGTACAAATAATGTTTTTTGTATTTCTAGCACCTTTTGTTAAGTGTTCACCATAAGATTATGAGATGACTGAATCTGACATGACCGACTAGACATCTCCTCATAAGCTTATATGAACAAAAATTAAAGCTGTAAAAAAATTATTTAAGCTTTTAAATGATTATCACATCTTTTAATAAATAAAGCTTTAAGGCATCCTCCATAGACAAGGAACCCCCGGAGCTTCATTTCCCTCTAATGATGAGGAATTAAACTTCATTGACCAGATGGTTGAAGAAGGAACATTCAGCTATAGATACGTACATGAGATAATCTTGTAAAAAATCTTTTATCTTTCCAAAATATGTTATGGAAAGTATTTCTAGCACCTTTTGTACACATGTTTTTAATATTTAACAAATAAAAAAGAAACATGCATAGTAATTGATTGCTTTCTCTTCAAAGCGTTAATCTATCGTTAATATTTATCGACCATTTTTGTCCATATATTGTTTTGTAAAATATTTTATATCACAATAAAACAAAAAACAAAAAGACTAAAGAACTTTTTAACTGGGCCTCGTTTTTTCTCAGAAAATTGAGCAAAACACAATAAACCCACTTGGGGCCCAATTATGTTTCTTCTTTCCAACGATCGATTTCGACTCTTTTCGCCTGAAACCACAACTAAAAGCGTTCGCCGCCTTCGAGGTTTCTCCCTGTGTGCACAGTGCGTAAGAAATGAAAATGCGCGGTGGTGAAGTGGAAGTGAAAAGGGTGTTTATTGGAGCAGGATGCAACAGAATAGTGAACAACGTTTCATGGGGTGCTTCTGGCTTCGTCTCTTTTGGCGCTCACAACGCCGTTGCTATTTTCTGTCCCAAGGTCCCCCTTCAACCTTCTTCTACTTTTTCACTCACCCTTCATCATAGATTTGCTTTTCTTTCTTTTTTATTCACCCTTTTGGATTTCGCAGAGTGCTCAAATTGTGACTACTCTTCCGGGTCACAAGGCAGCTGTGAATTGCACCCACTGGCTTCCAACTTCCAAGTTTTTATTTAAAGGTGCTTTCCTTCTCCGTTTCTCATCGACTTGAACTATACATACAAGTTCAATTTTTTGTGAAGTTGGACTTGAATCAAACTATTTGGCATAACAATATCATAAGTTTTTATGAAGTGATTAGACCAGTTTCACTGTTTTATATCAATGGTTAATATCCTTCTTCCCTTTGAAGTGCAGCAAAACAATTGAAGCAGCATTATTTGCTTTCTGGCGATGCAGATGGAGCTATTATGCTGTGGGAAATGTCCCTTGCTGATGGGAAGGTATGTGCTGTTTTTATTTCCTCAATTTTTGTTCAAATAAATTATGAGAGAAATTTGTTAGTTGGGAACTTAGATGGAATTATAAATTATTGTTTCTTGCGTATTTGCCTTCGAATTGTTTGTAGTGGAGGCAAGTGTTACAACTGCCACAATTACACAAGAAAGGTGTTACATGCATTAGTGGAATTATGGTTTCTCAGACTGAGGCACTTTTTGCATCTACTTCTTCAGATTGCACTGTTTGTGTATGGGAACTTGTTTTTCCAATTAATGGTAGCGGTAAGCTATATTTCCCAATGACAGGGACCTTGTTTAGTACCATATTAGTAAAGTGCTAATGTACATTGATTGAGACTTGCTTCATCATTTTAGGTGACTGTAAATTGTCGTGCCTGGATTCTTTCACGATTGGATCTAAATCCATGGTAGCCTTATCATTAGCTGAATTGCCTGGAGATGGTGGGCAAATTGTCCTCGCAATGGGAGGATTGGATAACAAGATTCACCTTTATTGTGGTGGAAGGACAGGAAAGGTATCTGCATTCCCAGAGTTGTAGATTATTAACATGAACCTTTGGTATCTTGTAGTGTTTTATGTCTGTTTGTGTTTAACATACTTAAATTTTCTTCTGCCCATGAATCCAGCTTGTACATGCATGTGAACTAAAAGGTCATACAGATTGGATCCGGAGTTTGGACTTCTCATTGCCTATAAATGTGAATGGAGAAGTAAACAATATTTTTCTGGTGAGTTCATCACAGGATAAAGGCATTCGAATTTGGAAGATGGCGTTACGCAGCTCTATGTCAAATGGAAATGGCATATGCAAGAAAGGAGAAATAAGCTTATCATCCTATATAGAAGGGCCTGTGCTTTTGGCTGGTTCATCTTCTTTCCAGATATCCTTAGAATCTCTTTTAATTGGACATGAGGATTGGGTATATTCAGTAATGTGGCAACCCCCGTCGGTTTCATCCATAGAAGGGGATGCCTATTATCAACCACAAAGTATCTTATCTGCATCTATGGACAAGACTATGATGATCTGGCAACCTGAAAAGATTTCTGGTGTTTGGATGAATGTGGTTACTGTTGGGGAACTTAGCCACTGTGCTCTGGGGTTCTATGGTGGTCATTGGAGCCCAAATGGAGATTCAATTTTAGCACATGGATATGGTGGATCTTTCCATCTTTGGAAAGATGTTGGTAATGATAATTGGCTGACACAAAAGGTTCCCTCTGGTCACTTTGCACCAGTGACCGACATTGCCTGGGCTAGATCTGGTGATTATATTATATCTGCCAGTCACGACCAGGTATTTATAGCACATTCTTTCTGGAAAAGTTGTAAACTAATCATGTCTATTGATTTATCTCTTATGTGAACTTGCTTTTTAAAATTTATTAATGGCTTGACCCTGTTGCCTAATTGGTATAAGAACATAATTTTATGCTTTAAGAGAAAAAAATATTGAAATTGAAGCTGCTTGTGTAATTATTTTACTTTCCACAGCTTGTGGTTCAAATAATAACTGAATTTTTTTCATGATTTTGAACTGGCCATGAAACTGTTGCTATCTTAAAAATTGCAGACAACTAGAATTTTTGCTCCGTGGAAAATTGAGGCTTCTCTCCAAGATGGAGAATTTTGGCATGAGATATCTCGCCCTCAAGTTCATGGTCATGATATAAATTGTATGGCAGTTATTCATGGGAAGGGGAATCATCGTTTTGTCAGTGGAGCTGATGAAAAAGTTGCCAGAGTATTTGAAGCCCCATTATCATTTCTGAAGACATTAAATAATGCCACTTTGCACAAGTCTTGTCCTTCTGATGATATATTGGGAAATGTTCAGATTTTGGGTGCAAATATGTCAGCTCTTGGACTATCACAGAAACCTATTTATGTTCAAGGTCAGTTATTTTATTGATGGGGATGTAAAGCATATCATGCCAATTTTAGACCATATTGGCATATGTTGGATTTTTCTCATGGTTATGTCGGGTGTAAACTTTTATAGTTATTGCATGTGGTTCTAATTACATGAATGGATAGAGCCAGTGGTTGAGACTCGAAATGAATGCTACTAGGTAAGGGAAAATAGCAGGCAATGGGATTCGAATAGAGGACTGAATAATGAATACCGCAATGGAATTCAATTAGAGAGGAACTGTTTTCAATCGTGACCAAAAATATAAGATTTTTGTGTGTTACAGCCATATAGTAGCACTACCATGATATAGGCTTCAAAATTCATTTTTGCCAGAAACATCATCGTTTGGATTGTTTTGGGGTATATATATTCTGCAAAATTTTGCCTCTCTTTTAATCTTGTTTTAGGACTATTTTTTAATCTTGTTTTTTGTTTCTTCTTTGCCCTCGTCTACTGCTAAATTTTTTAAAGAAAATGTGATTTTAGTTCTATACTTTTGATTGAACTTGTATGTAGTCCCTGTATTTTTAATTTGATAAAATCGGTTCTCAAACTTTAAAGAATGTTATTTTCATCCCACTAATATGTGAGTTGGTAGAGAAGGATGAAAAGCACATATTTTCAGAAGTTATGCGACTTATTTCATCAATTTGAAGGAACCGGGATTACAACCAAATTTCACCAAAAGTATAGGGATTAAAAATACATTTTTCTGTTTTTTTTTTATCTAATTTATGTTCATTTTCTATTAATCATCTTTACTTTTTGACTTCTGTACCATGTTGTTATCGCTCTTAATTGATGGAGATTGTGTGCATAAACTGTGATTTAGTTTTATTTCAAGTTTTATTTTATTTTTTGGTTTTTTTGAGTATTCATACGTGCAGTGATAAAGTACTGTTCTTAAATATTTATAATAATGGTCATCCTCCTAAAGCATTTTCAGAGGTAGCCGCCACGGGCCTCAGGTTGAGATTGATAATTATCTTGTACTTGTTCTTTATTCGCTTCTTGCATGAATTAATGAACTCACTCGTTACTTTCCTAGAGTAAACTCGCTGATTTCTTGCATATTAAAAAAATGTTACATTTTACTGACCCTGCTATCAAGATAAGTTGACTGTGAGACTGTTCACTCAGGGCTTTTAACTGGCGTATTTGGTGTGAGTTTATTTTATAATTATCCCTAGAATATATGTTTTAAGAGCTAGAAAGATATTGTCAACTACTTTCAAACAATTATACATTGTTTCTGGCATGTTGGACTTTTGGACTTTTGAAAGTTTATCATTTTTAGAGTATTTCTACATTGCAGCTGTACATGAGATCCCCGAAAGAAGTGAAATCGATGGTATTGACACTCTTGAAACTATTCCCGACGCCATTCCAACTGTGTTCACTGAACCTCCAATTGAAGATCAACTGGCCTGGCATACACTTTGGCCTGAATCACACAAACTCTATGGGCATGGAAACGAACTATTTTCTTTATGCTGCGATCATAAGGGTGAGCTTGTTGCTTCTTCATGTAAGGTATGTAGTGGAAGTCTAGCTATGAACCTGTATTACTATTATTAGATAGAAATTCTAGTATTCCATGATTAATCTTCATTCAGTGTGTTTTTTCCCTTTCATTGAATATGAATTAGCTTCAATCAAATTGGCTTAGATTGTTCTGTTAATCAGTCTCTACCTACCTTGTTCACTTTTCTGCTTTATCACTGATATCATCGGTATGCATCATTGCACATTGTTTTATGCAATGCAGGCCCAGTCTGCAGCTGTTGCAGAGGTATGGCTTTGGCAGGTCGGTTCATGGAAAGCAGTTGGCCGCTTGCAATCCCACAGCTTAACAGTAACACAGATGGAATTCTCACATGACGACAACTTTCTTTTGACTGTCTCAAGGGATCGCCAGTTCTCTGTTTTTTCAATCACAAGAACAGGTAGACGTATCATCATCATTTAGACATGAATTTGTACCTTCTCTTTATTATCATTTGGTGATTTTCCTTGGTTGACACATGACATCTCTTGAGATGGAGTGGCAGTCCAAACGTGCAAAATGAAGCACTTGGTGGATTTGATGAAGACATAGATATAGCTTAGGTTGTGGGTGTGTAGATGATTGAAAGAATTAATGGTTGAGTTCAAGAGGAGGGGTGAATTGAACTTTAAAACTTTTTCGCAAAACTTACTTTCTTTTGGAAGAATGAGTTATCTTTATTCAATCTTTGCAAAGGTAATTTGGTTTAAACACAACAAGTTTATAGACAGAAAATAAAAGAGATGAAAGAAGAAATTTAACACACAAATTTATACTGGTTCACTCTAATCCAGAGCTACATCCAGTTCCACTAATTCCAAGTGAAAATTACAACCAGTAGATACTCACCAATCTACCCCAAGAACTATCTTGCAAACCCACAAGATAGAATCTTGAAAACCACCCGAGTAACCAAATTCGATTCATTGTACCAAGTGCGAATCACAACCCAACCTGCACAATCACACTTTTACAAAAGAGTATGGAAAGAAAAAACCTGGACTTGAAGTTCTAATTGTCCAGAACAAATTCTAACAAGCACTTTCTCTCTTTGATTGACCACAATTCGATCACAGACACCTTATGATATGAAAAGATTCTTGAATGCGAGAGAAAGTCACGTATATGAAAGTTTCACAGATTGATTTCACAAGTTTTCTCAAGTAGTGTGTTGTATATATTTCAAAAGATAGATCAATTTCGTATATAAAGAGTAAAACAAAGAATCAGAACGTTTCATCTGTCAAAAGCTGTTTCGAGAGTCACAAGATCGATTAGTTTGAAGTATAACGAGGTTAGAAGAGACTCCGATCGATTAGAACTGAAGTATGATCGATCAGACCGAGTTATGATCGATCAGAATGAAACTATGATCGATCAGATTACATTTCAATCGATTGAAACCACGATTGAATCGATTGATTTCATTTAAAAGTTCATTCAATCGATTGTTTGAGTTTTCAATGGATTGAAACGACTTTAGAAAAATGATAGCTCTCTGTTTTAATCGATTGAAAATCATTTCAACAGATTGAAATCCTGCAGTCTTTTAAACAGAAAAATAACCTCTCTGTTTCAACAGATTGAAAAGTATTTCAACGGATTGATTTTATGAAAACTCTTAGACTTTTTAAAAAAAAAAAAACTTTCTGTTTCAACAGATTGAAAATTATTTCAACAGATTGAAAATGCGAAACCATGATATTTGAAAAAATTCAATAAGTTATTTTAACTTGGATTCTGCGAATCAATCAATTGAAAATATGATTATGTATGACCACTTATTCGTTAAGTGATTTTAATAGATTAAAAATCTTTTTCAACTGATTAAAAAAACTTAGTTTGTTTTTTTAATACTTGAATGTGAGTTTTTCATGCGAGAAAATGATTTTCAATGAGATGCAATGTTTTAAGGTGCTTATCACAAAATATAATGGACTATCAAGAGATTAAGTGCTTAAACTAAAAACCTAATCATCTACACACCCACAACCTAAGTTATATCTATGTCTTCATCAAATCCACCAAGTGCTTCAATCTCCCCTATTTGATGGAGACAAATAACCACTGCACTTGCATAAAAAATAACGAGACCGAGAGACATATATTTTGTGGTGTGTGTGTAGTGACGGTTTTAAGCAAAATACTTCTCCCCTATTTGATTGCATCAAATAGATTGTTTTAATTACGAGTCCAATGGGGCCACGTGGGTACCCGAATATAAAACAGAACATTAAAAACTAAGAAAAGAAAACAGAATAACGAAACATAAAAAGTCTTCATTCGTCCCCGGGGCCTTGATTGAATTGTAGTTCCACAATTCAGTTGTAAATTTCTTCTAGTTGATTATCAATATGCTTGAAACCTTGCAATGAAATTTTCATCCAAATAATCGTCTTAGAGCCCTCGGAAGCGACGATCATCGCATATGCCTCCTTTGGTCCGAATGCGGTTCGCTCATTTGATGTAACATTGTTCTTTCAAAGCGAGACGAGGCGTGCCACGGTCGAGCGGTGGATTGTATGAAATCATTTTCGGTGGGGTCACTTCTTCCATTGGATCGGACAGACGTCTTGCGAAGTTCCGGGAATATCGGTGTTGATTCCTTCCTCTTGCTCTTCTTCTTCACTTTCTTCACTTCTCCCGAGCATCTTCTTTCGAGATCCATTCACCATCAATTTTAATGAATCCCATTTTGTGAAGCATAGAATTATTTATTTCATTCGTTGGTCGGACGGTTTCAACAAGTTCTCCTTCTACATTGACACCAAAATGTGTTAAAAACTTAGAAATCGAGAATAGCATAAGGATACCGAAATCACTAAGTCTCTTGGCTTTGATCATGTGGTCCTTGATGACGAAGACCCAGTTCACCGTATCCTGTGGTGAATGCGGTACATCGATACTATACCTCCTTCGTTTAGCACCGCATGATTGCTCCCCCGGGTGTGAGCTGCCACGACACAATGAAAGCGAGAATTCTTTCTTCCAGTTTTAGCTTCCCGAGTATTGAAAGAGCTAACAGAATCACGAGTATTCTTCATGCATGACCAGAAAGTCTTGAACTTTATTAAATTCGTCCACATCCGAAGTGTATCCTTTGGTGACTTTTACACCAACACCCTTTATTCCAGCAACCTCCTTCCGGATGTTGGGTGTAATTTCAATGTCTACACCTTTAACTTGGGTTTTCAAAGTGGAACCTTCAAAGGATAAATTTGTGAAGAAAACTTTAATCAAATCGGGATAAATCCTACCATTTAACTCCGAAACTTCGAAGCTTTTGGTGTTGCGGTAGCTTTCGAATGTCTCTCGAATCCTTCGGCATCAAACCGGGAGAACTTTAACATCTTCGGAATGTTGACTTGCTTCTGCTCAATTCATAGATAAACAAATCCATTTTCTCTTGGTCCCCATTGAACCAAGTTTCAATTTGACCTCCAACATTTGGTTCTTGCCTTGCATTAGAAGACTCGCCTCTGCTGGACTTCTTCCTACCGGATTTAGTACGTTTGAGCATGCTTGAATTTTTGGAATGAACAGAAAAGAACCGAGAAGAAGGGATGATTCAAGAAGAAAAAATACTACTGTTTTCTTTAGAAATGAGAGCACACGAACTCTTCAACTTTACAGTTTTGTCTTTATTGCAGTGATGATAAAAGAGGAGAGAGAGAGAGAATTGCTACTGTACACTTTAATTACCCTTACAGTAGATATCCAATCAGGGTCAATCAGTTTTTATTGGAAATCTTGGATATTAAAGAGAGTAGCTGAAGTTTATCTTGTTGCAAAATGTGTTGCTCTGTCAACTGCAGAAGCTGAATACATTGCAGCTGGGAGCTGTTGTGCTCAAAGCATCTACCTCAAGTAACAACTGACAGATTATGGAGTGACTCTAAACAAGGTACCTCTGGTTTGTGACAATACTAGTGCAATAAACTTAACTAAGAATCATATTCAACACTCTAGAACTAAGCATATTGAAATTAGACATCACTTTATTAGAGAACACGTATCTAGGGGTGACTGTGAGATATTATTCATTGAATCTGAAAAACAGTTAGCTGATTTATTCACTAAACCACTTCCTAGAGATAGACTTAATATGCTTAGGACTGAATTAGGAATTCTAGATATATCTAGTATTGCATAAGCTGATTCTTTACGGTGATTGTATGCTTTTTAACGAGCTGATAACAAGTTCAATCGATTAATAATTGCATGAATAACTTGATATTATTTGTTTCAATCGATTGTAATTGCGAAATAATCTGTTGATTTCCTGATTCTTACTCTCTGGTATTGATATGTTATCAGTTCAATCGATTAGATAAGCTTTTAATCGATTTATTTCATTAACCTTGTAGCTCTGCATACTTTCTTCTATAAATTAATTGATTAAATCTTCGAGTCAATCGATTGAATTTACTTATGATACTCTGCATGATTGTCTCTTACAATAACAATCGATTTAATTCTCGATTCAATTGGTTTATTTTACTTCTGAGTATCTGCGATTACAAAATCAATTGGTTTCACGGAATATCAATTGATTATTTTTTTTAGGGCTAGTTGTATGTACTTTGTCTCTAAACAATTTCTGCAGAGTAAATTGAAAGCATTTACAACAAGATAAACTTCAGCTACTCTCTTTAATATCTAAGATTTCCAATAAAAGCTGATTGACCCTGATTGGATATCTACTGTAAGGGTAATTAAAGTGTACAGTAGCAATTCTCTCTCCTCTTTTATCATCACTGCAATAAAGACAAAACTGTAAAGTTGAAGAGTTCGTGTGCTCTCATTTCTAAAGAAAACAGTAGTATTTTTTCTTCTTGAATCATCCTTTCTTCTCGGTTCTTTTCTGTTCATTCCAAAAATTCAAGCATGCTCAAACGTACTAAATCCGGTAGGAAGAAGTCCAGCAGAGGCGAGTCTTCTAATGCAAGGCAAGAACCAAATGTTGGAGGTCGAATTGAAACTTGGTTCAATGGGGACCAAGAGAAAATGGATTTGTTTATCCATGAATTGAGCAGGAAGCAAGTCAACATTCCGAAGATGTTAAAGTTCTCCTGGTTTGATGCCGAAGGATTCAGAGGCATTCGAAAGCTACTGCAACACCAAAAGCTTCAGAAGTTTCTGGAGTTAAATGGTAGGATTTATCCTGATTTGATTAAAGTTTTCTTCACAAATTTATCCTTTGAAGGTTCCACTTTGAAAACCCAAGTTAAAGGTGTAGACATTGAAATTACACCCAACATCTGGAAGGAGGTTGCTGGAATAAAGGATGTTGGTGTAAAAGTCACCAAAGGATACACTTCAGATGTGGACGAATTTAATAAAGTTCAGTACTTTCGGTCATGCATGAAGAATACTCGTGATTTTGTTAGCTCTTTCAATACTGGGAAGCTAAAACTGGAAGAAAGAATTCTCGCTTTCATTGTGTCGTGGCAGCTCACACCCAGGGGGAGCAATCATGCGGTGCTAAACGAAGGAGGTATAGTACTGATGTACTGCATTCACCACAGGATACGGGTGAACTGGGTCTTCGTCATCAAGGACCACATGATCAAAGCCAAGAGACTTAGTGATTTCAGGTATCCTTATGCTATTCTGATTTCTAAGTTTTTAACACATTTTGGTGTCAATGTAGAAGGAGAACTTGTTGAAACCGTCCGACCAACGAATGAAATAAATAATTCTGTGCTTCACAAAATGGGATTCATTAAAATTGATGGTGAATGGATCTCGAAAGAAGATGCTGGGAGAAGTGAAGAAGAAGAGCAAGAGGAAGGAATCAAACACTGATATTCCTTGAACTTCTGCAGCACGTCCGTCTGATCCAATGGAAGAAGTGACCCCACTGGAAATGATTCCATACAATCCACCGCCTGACCGTGGCACGCCTCTGTCTCAGTTTGAAAGAACAATGTTACATCAAATGAGCGAACTGCATTCAGACCAAAGAAGGCATATGCAGATGACTGCTGCTCTGAGGGCTTGGCAGCATTATTTGGATGAAAATTTCATTGCAAGGTTCCAGCATATTGATAATCAACTAGAAGACATTTACAACAGGATTGTGGAACTACAATTCAATCAAGGCCCCGGGGATGAATGAAGACTTTTTATGTTTTTGTTATTCTGTTTTCTTTTCTTAGTTTTTAATGTTCTGTTTTATATTCGGGGTACCCACGTGGCCCCATTGGACTGTAACTAAAACAATCTATTTGATGCAGTCAAATAGGGGGAGAAGTATTTTGATTAAAACTGTCACTACACACACACCACAAAATATATGTCTCTGGTCTGTTATTTTTTATGCAGTGGTTATTTGTCTCCATCAAATAGGGGGAGATTGAAGCACTTGGTGGATTTGATGAAGACATAGATATAGCTTAGATTGTAAGTGTGTAGATGATTAGGTTTTTTAGTTTAAGCACTTAATTTCTTGATAGTCCATTATATTTTGTGATAAGCACCTTAAAACATTGCATCTCATTGAAAATCATTTTCTGCATGAAAAACTCACATTCAATTATTAAAAGAACAAACTAAGTTTTTTTTTAATCTGTTGAAAAAGATTTTCAATCTGTTAAAATCACTTAACAGAATAAGTGGTCATACATAATCGTATTTTCAATTGATTGATTCGCAGAATCAACAAGTTAAAATAACTTAGTGAATTTTTTCAAATATCATGGTTTCGCATTTTCAATCTGTTGAAACAGAAAGTTTTTTTTTTTTTTTAAAAGTCTAAGTTTTCAGAAAATCAATCCGTTGAAATACTTTTCAATCTGTTGAAACAGAGAGGTTATTTTTCTGTTTAAAAGACTGCAGGATTTCAATCTGTTGAAATGATTTTCAATCGATTAAAACAGAGAGCTATTATTTTTTCTAAAGCTGTTTCAATCCATTGAAAACTTGAAACAATCGATTGAATGAACTTTTAAATGAAATCAATCGATTGAATCGTGGTTTCAATCGATTGAAATGTAATCTGATCGATCATAACTTCGGTCTGATCGATCATACTTCGGTTCTAATCGATCGAGTCTCTTCTAACTTGTTATATTTCAAACTAATCGATCTTGTGACTCTCGAAACAGTTTTTGACAGATGAAACGTTCGATTCTTTGTTTTACTCTATATATACGAAATTGATCTATCTTTTGAAATATATACAACACACTACTTAAGAAAACTTGTGAAATCAATCTGTGAAACTTTCATATACGTGACTTTCTCGCATTCAAGAATCTTTTCATATCATAAAGTGTCTGTGATCGAATTGTGGTCAATCAAAGAGAGAAAGTGTTGTTAGAATTTGTTCTGGACAATTAGAACTTCAAGTCCAGGTTTTTTCTTTCCATACTCTTTTGTAAAAGTGTGATTGTGCAGGTTGGGTTGTGATCTGCACTTGGTACGATGACTTGGATTTGGTTACTGGGTGGTTTTCAAGATTCTATCTTGTGGGTTTGCAAGATAGTTCTTGGGGTAGATTGGTGAGTATCTACTGGTTGTAATTTTCACTTGGAATTAGTGGAATTTAACAGGTTTGTCAAGAACTGGATGTAGCTCTGGATTAGAGTGAACCAGTATAAATTTGTGTGTTAAATTTCTTCTTTCATCTCTTTTATTTTCTGTCTATAAACTTGCTGTGTTTAAACCAAATTACCTTTGCAAAGATTGTATAAAGATAACTCATTCTTCCAAAAGAAAGTAAGTTTTGCGAAAAAGTTTTAAAGTTCAATTCACCCCCCTTTTGAACTCAACCATTAATTCTTTCACAAAAAACTGATGAAGCTTCTGACATCTCTTTTCGGCAACATGATTAAAATTAGGGTTGAGTTAAACATTTCACAATTATTTGCTGGACTCTTTTTAGTACTGTAACAGTTGCAGTTTTCATTAGCTTTTACACCTCAACAGATATCCTAATAACTCAATTGTGATTTACAGGCTCCGTTGAAATTAATTATAGCCTTCTTGCGAGGCAAGAGGGGCACAAGCGGATTATCTGGTCATGTTCTTGGAATCCACATGGTTATGAATTCGCAACAGGCTCACGGGATAAGACGGTGAAAATCTGGGCCGTTGAAAAGGATTCATCCATCAAACAGCTTATGACTTTGCCTCAATTTATGAGTAGTGTGACAGCATTGTCTTGGGTTGGTCTCCATCATCAAAGGAATAATGGAATTCTAGCTATTGGAATGGAAAATGGGCAAATAGAATTGTGGAATCTGTCTTGTAACAGAGCAGATGATGGGAGCATAGCACCACCAGGTTTGGCTGCCACTCTTGCTATACGTATAGATCCTTTTATATGCCATGCCTCTACCGTAAACCGTTTAGCGTGGAAGAAAAATGAGGAAGATCACACGAGTATGCAACTTGCTTCTTGCGGATCTGATAATTGTGTGAGAGTGTTCGAGTTAACGGTTTAGTAATTATATTACTGATCCCCTTTCTTTTTTTATATATCTGTAGATTGATTTTTTGGTCCTCAGCTATGACTAAGAAAATTTGTATTTGTTGCATTGTTCTTCTCCAGAAATGCCAATTACTATTAGTAGTAGTGATGTCAGAAATGTCTTTAGGTCCATTTTTGTAACAATTATTTGGTGTCACGTTACTGAAATAACTTATATCATATTTTTTTATGTAAAGTGATAAACATTATCTTCATCATCCGAAAAAAAAATGAATCCGTTGTCACGACGAGACTTGTAATATCATACTATGTGAATTGCGACGTAATTGTACCCTCCAAAAACTTCTCTAATAACGGTCTTAAGTTGATCACTTGTCAGTGTCCAACGTTTCCACCGCGGTGAGGGGTGAGACGTTTGTGACCAACAGCTTGAAAGTGATTTAAGTAAAAATAGGCCGAAAATGTTGTTTTTATGTACAAATAGGCATAAACGAGCATATGCTCGCCAACCTTCATCGATTGGGTCGGTTGTGGATTCAAGCCTAAGTGATATGCTACTATTCGTGTGATTGTAATAAAGTTTGGGGAAATATAGGAAGGATATCTTGTTCTTTTTATGAATGGAAGAAAAATATATTTTCACACTAAAAAAGGAAAAGATTTGTAGAGTTGTAATCTTTATTCTGTCAACTAGTATTACACGGTTGTTATGAATTAATAAATGTTCTGTTCATCCTTTCCCACTTCCAAACAAAGGCAAAAGCTTCGAATATTCCATGGAGCATATGTAAACTTCGTATTTCATTATGACAGAAATGTTATTCACCCCTTGTTTTTTTAATTGTGGAGCTCCAAGAAGGAAAAAGTTCCTGGTGATTAGAATTTAAGAAAAATGAACACCGTAGTTAGGGACTTTATGATCATCCTGAGTGGGGCCCTTGATAGGCAGCTTTTTACTCGGTGTCTTGGACACTCCACCAATCCATTAAATCTTGGGAGGCAGAGAATCAAATTTTGAGCAAATGGCTCATTGATTCCCTTTCCCTCATTATGGAATTCAGTTCTTGGAAGCAAAGGGTAATGTGATGCTACTAATTGAAATTTCACATTAATTTGGGTGGGGTGTACATATGCACACTATTCCTCCATGCTTTTTCTTATAGAGTCATATGGGTTTCCATGACTAGCCCAACTTCCCACTCTGGACTAAGGCTCCCTCAGACCTCGGTCGGCAATAATGCACCAATTATGTGCATTGAATTGGAAGCATTCTTCTAAGCAAAAACCAGATTACGGGACGGTGAGTGACCCTGACCTACGTTGACATTGAACAGGTAGGGACCATGAGCCATTTGACAATTGCTGGCTCCATCATTAATGTGGATGATAATGTTAATAATACATGACAAGTATGCAATAAGTTGTTGAAGCAGAGTCAGCATGAACCACTACTCCCAGGATTTAATTTCAACTTCAAGTCATGGATGACAGCATTTGAGTGTAGGCAGCGGCTTAATCGTGCAAGCGTGTAGTTGGATAAAATGGGGATATAACTATATTTTCTTTGTTTTGATTCATATATATTATCTCTATTTGGTTCGAGCCCGGCAAATTGAAATCCCAACCATGTAACCAGATAAATCTTGCCTAATCTTAACTTTTAAACCTCGTACAGTTAAACTATTCTTATATAAACCACTAACTAGTACTTAGTGCATCATACTTAAATACAATAAAACACCGAATCTTATGTACCTTGCCACTAAAGTAACATGAAATTCAGCAAAATCAACAATATGTAACGTGCACTCTGTTGTCCAGGGTGGTTTATTAATCTTAAAATTCACTATACGTTAAAATTTCACATCAATCAAACGCTTTTGCTTATAGTGTAATTATCATACAGTTGTGGTCTCGCTCAAGAAATTGGTCTAGTTCCGGTATGTGTCCGACTTCGTTACTAAATGGCATTTGAACTCCTCATCCTCAAGTTGTCTCAACAGTGTAAGAGACTAGCTTCTGCGACAATATTCTTGCTAAAATGAAAAATATGCCATTAGACCAAAGCTGGGATAAGTACAAACTTAGAGTTGTCACGCGTGATCAACTATAGAATACATAATCTCTCTATAAAGTCATAATATGCAGCTTGAAATGATAGTAAAGGATCCACTTGATTGTCGAGAAACCCAAGGGGCAGTATTGTTTTAGTTAAGCATTTTAAAGCTGGCGTCTAGATGATAATTCAAGGTGTAGCTTTCATCAAGGAGAATCAAATTCAAACTAAAACTCACAAGGGCATTATTTTTGGGTCATGCGCAGCAAAACCTGAAGTCAATCGGAAGATATATTATATTATTTTACCACATAAAGCGGACAAGAGGATTCAAAATACGGCCAGATCAACATATGATTTGTGACACGATGAGCAAGTGAAAACTTATGGTCCTTCATGCATAGCTGCGGTCACATAAGAGGCCAAGGGCAAACTGCTAGTCCGAAACTTCAAAATGACCATATCCATTGCACTTGTAAAGAGGAATAAATAGCTTATCATGAACACCATGGATCACACTATACCAGAAAAGAAACAATACCAGGTAATTGATATGACAATCATTTCAGGAATTGATATTTGAACTTCACAAATACAATGTTTCAGACTTGACCTTTTACAGTATAACCTTGGACCAATTTCGTTTCCTATATAAATTATGACATACAAGAGAGAGTACAAGATGATCACAGCTTCTTATTTTTCTATCGAAATACATACCACAAACTGTTTACCAAACATCAACGACAGAACTGCATATAAAACATAAAGGGAAACCAAACCCATTTTTTTCAAAATTGTTTCTTTTTTTTTTTTTAAGTACCAGTTTATAATGGCTGTGAGGTTCTTATCTGCTGCTTCACACTGTCTGAGGGATGCTGAGCAGAACCTTCCTGCATCATCACAGCAGCAGCAGTCATAGTCTGGTACTGGGAAGACATTGTGGGTGCCAAAGGTTGAGAGTAGTAAATTTGGGCATGTGCAGGGTCCGGATAATCAAAAGCATAATTTGCCTGTGGAGCAGAATTGGGAGCCATGGACTGGGATGGATGGTGAATCTGTGAGTAAGTGACATACTGTTGCTGATGTTGGCTTGTAGGAACTTGAACTAGTTGAGGGGTGCCGGCAGTTGCAGCTCTGTAAGCATTCATTTCAGTTTTAGGCATGGGAGCATTTCTCATGGGATTGTATGCAGCAGATTGTGGAACCAATGTAGCAGGATTTGGTGGAGTTTGTGGTCGGCTAGAAGCAAGGTTTCCCGCAGACTCACCCATATTAGACTGCTGTACAGGCAGGTTGTAAGCCTGCGCCTGCCTCGTATGCACATAGTAAAGCTGTGGATGTTGTGGATGCTGAGGGTGTTGCTGGGAAGGATATACAGGATAATACGCAGAAATTGCAGGGTTATGGTGGATGAAATGTGTGCCATGTATAAACTGTTGCTGCTGTTGCGGCAGCCCCTGCTGGTGCTGGTCGAATTGCTGTTGTGGCAGCTGCTGCGACTGCTGGTGCTGTTCAAATTGCTGTTGTAACAAAAATCCAGGGTCCTGTACATGTTGTTGCATCTGGATCCGACCGTGCGGATCAGAAACATTGAGCTTCGGATCCACAGGGTTACTCGGAACCCTTGTAGCTCCAGATTGAACCTGAGCTTGTTCCTGATAAACAACAGGTTTCTGACGAGAAATTGCATTCGCAAGACTACTATCACTGCAAGATCAAAACAATCACCAAAACCTAATTCAAACAGAGCCAATAGAAATCATCACCAAGAACCAAATTTCCTCATTAAACCTATACATTCAAAACCAAACCCTCGATACAACATGCAGGTGGAATATGAATGAATCCAAATTTAGCATTTTTATTAAAATTAAAACGATCCATAGCCAAAACCAGCATGAGGAATTGAAATTGAGAATACCTTGAAACTGAATCGGGAGAAGGCAAATCAACAACGCCGCCACTACCACCAGTTGACTTCTGTTGAAATTGAGGAGTAAGTGTTTGTGTCTGTGACTGTACCTGTGGCTGAGGAGTGGGTGGTTTTCTGTACCCAACAGGAACCCCATGATCGGATCTTTCATCATCGGAGACAACCCGGTTGTGATAATCCCCAGCGACAATTGTCGGTGGCCCAATCGGCACACCTGCCGCGGCGAGGGTAGCCGGGACTGGCGGAGGCGGAGGCGAAGACAGCAAAACAAAACCCTCATCCTGCTGCTTCTGCCCCACACCAACCCCCATCTGCGCGAACTGCTCTTCAATCCCCATCGCCTTCTGATCCTCCACGACATGAACCCTAATCGGAGGCAAATTGGCGAGAGACGGTGACGACGAAGTGGACCCGAACGACGATGTCGTTTCGAGCATGGGCGAATCGGGAACGGAGTGAACATCCTGCTTCAAATTTTTCCCGTTGCCGAAAGATCCACCCTGCGAAGCGCCACCTCCAACCCCAGCACCAGCACCACCTTCCCCAACGTCCTTGGAACCTGGTTCGAGGTTGTTCCCAGCAACTTCGTCGTCGAGTCCGAGAAGGCAATTTACAGAAGCAGACTCGGAAAACCCTCGGTTAAGCAACCCTGCGCCGTTTAGGGCATTCAAGAACCAATCGTCTGATTTGGCTGAGGTGTCAAGGATTTGAGGGGGAATGGAGTGAGTAGAATCGGGTTTGGTGGGAAAGAGAAAGAGGCGGATGCGGGAGGGTTTGACAGCGGAGGTGGCTGCTGCTGTGCGGTCATACTCATCGATCATGTTCTCGAGGTCTTCATCGGTGGTGACAGATATGAGGGAATCGAGGTCCTCGTTTGGGAGCTGGTACTTGAGCGTGAAGGGGCGTCCGTTCAGAAACGTCTTGGAGAGGCGCGTGGAGAGGTCCGTGAGTGAGGTGGCGCGTTCCGCCACGATTATGCGAGTGTCGCCGCCGACGTAGCAGAGGGACTTGTCGTGAGGAC